CTTATGCTCACACTTATTTTGCTCCTTCTAGAAGCTACCTTTTTATCTCTGTTTGTGAGATTTACTATTCCTCTGCCAGTTCTTATTTTAAATACCTCCCACTTCAGTATTCTTTGAACTACATGCAAATGTACGACCTAGTCTGAATCATAAAATGTTATTTTAAACTTTTGTGGTGATTGTAATGTGCTTTGTGGCCCTCCTAAAGATCTCTGTGTGTCCCCTACCTCTGTGTGTTTTGTACCACCTTACAAACATCTTGTGTGTCCCAAACATCACAACTTGATAAACTTTTTTGAGCATGTCCATTGCATAAGCCTACATAATAGAAAATGAATTAGCCTGGCCAGTGTGGCTCAGTGGTTGAGCATCGACCCATGCACCAAGAGGTCACCAGTTCAATCCCAGTCAGCACATGCTCAGGTTGTGGGCCCGATCCCCGGTGGGGGCATGCAGGAGGTGGCCAGTCGATGTTCTCTCTCATCAGTGTTTCGATCGATCTCTCTAAAAATCAATAAAAAAATATTTTTAAAAAAATAAAATGAATTAATATATTCTCCAGTTTGTCAGTGATACCCAAAGTTATGTGGCTCTAAACTGTATTTATAGTCATTATTAAGTCTTTTGGGGAAGGTGGACGTGTGGCTTGTGCAGTGATTCTGTGAAGTCCGAGGCAGTGGCTGAGCTCGGCGTCACCGGCCGAGACTGAAACACTGACGCCCGGCGCGGCCCAGACGCTGTGCACGGACGAGACCGAGGCCCGCACGCACGGAGTCGACAGAAGCTCACTTTCATGCCCAGAGAGTATAGAGAACTATTACTAGCATATTAGAAAATTATATCCTAACATAGAAATTAGAATTTTGAACTACCTTAAACTGTGTACAGTTTTGAATTATATTTGGAAAGACTCAGGAGCCTCTGTTTTAAAGTTTTCACAGCTCAAGACGAGGATTATTTATATCCATTGCGTTTAGAGTTTCTTGGTGGGTTGTCTTTTGAATAGGTTTAATCATTCGACGGCACTAAAGATCGAAAGAAGAAAAAAAATTAAAATTAAAAATGTTCACAGTTTTGCTGTTTACCATTGATTTCCTAAAGCAGAAGTTATCTTAAAGTTTCAGAACTTTCTCTAAAATTTTATTTGGGGATTCTCCAAAGTTTTTAAACATAAATGATTGGCTTTACTACAGTGTTGGGTAATTATAGAAGCATTTATTAAAGTACCAAGGGATGCATTTTTCTTTTCTTTTAAAGGGGAAAACTAGAATATATATATCAAATAAGTAAAAGCTGCATTTCATCTCACTCAGAATCTTAGCATTTTTCATTGTATGAAAGAATTACTTGTAAACATTTCTAGGACTTCCTTGATATGAGACTGTAAAAGAAACAGATAAAAATTTATCATAAAGTAGACTCATTGTATTTGATGTTAAATTTCAAAAGAATATAACAATGTTAAAGCATTTTAATGTGTGTCCAAATTAATGCTATAACTTAAATGTAGTATTATATCCTGTCTTTTATATTATACTTGGTTATACTTTGCGTAGCAGAGCAAAGCTTTGTTTTTTTATAAATAATGAAAGATTACATTAAAGAAAAATCCCAGAAATTTTAAATTATTTTGATACAGCCCTGGCCGGTTTGGCTCAGCGGTTGAGCATCGACCTGCGGACTAGAGAGTCCTGAGTTCGGTTCCTGCTAGGGGCATGTTCTACACAAACAAACAAAAATTTATTTTGATACTGCTATAATTTAACCCAGTTATAAATAGCAGGAGCGGAGCTAAGACATGCCACCCATGCAGCTTTGCCTGGAAGCTGCAGTTTAGACACATGCCCAGTAAGGTCTGGGTGACACAGGGATGGTACTTGCCTGTCAGTTACACCTGGGAACAGGTCACTGGCCAGGGTCAGCTTGGCCAGTGCAAGGTGCGAAGAGCTGATATATTTAATCTCCTGAACAAAGGAGTTTGCCCTCAGTTCATGCTCTTGTGCTCTTGTGTTCTCCGGACTCTTGTTGCAGGGGGCTCACTCTCTGGGCTCCCCTGCATTTGCCCCAATGGCCTGTTGCCATGGTGACCCCATACAATGGACCGATGGACTCTAACCAGCTAATGCTAACCCGGACACAGCTCCACCACGGAATGAAAACTCTGAACTCTGGCTTGGCTTCTAGCCCTACTGAATCCTCAGCTGCATATCTTCCAGGACCGGACTAAGGGAAATAGGACTTTGGAAACGAGGATGTAATTCCACACAAATAAAAATCACTCATCCTCCCATGTGAATCTCAGAATTTTTTTTTTTTTTTGATATATCATAAGGACCCACCCCCCAGCACCCAGTGGGGAAAGGGATACCCACTTCACTGGTAACAGTTTGACAAGGAAGCATGTGTGAAAATGGAACAATGTGCTTTTAAAATATTTCTTTGGGGGAAAAAATAAACTATGTGGGTAGGTGTGACATCAAGATTGTTTAATTAGTTATTCCTGTTTCTTTTTTATCAAATTTGTTTTTCTAAAAGAGAAACTATTTTTGACCTTGATATAATTTGTACACAAGCAGACACATCTAAAATGTTTGCAGGTACAATAGTATAAACATATAGTTGTGGAAGTTCCTTCATAAAATAAAATTAGAATTCTTTTCCTGGTTCCTTTAAAGATTCAAAGTTTGAACCTTTGAAGGGACTCCCCAGCTGCTCACATAGGGCCCCTGTGTGAACGCAGAGGGTATTGGGGGGCAAGAAAAAGAGCCCAGGCGAGCCTGGGGCGCAGGGCAGCCCGGCTCAGGGCCCCGCGTCTCTGTTGCTGCAAAGCCCGGCGTTGTCTCCAGATTGATCTACCAACACGTGTGCAGTGAATCTGGGCTTCAGGAAAGCTCAGGGCAGAAGTTCCCACCAGGCTGTTTTTGCCCCTCTGGTCACAGGCCAACCCACTGTTCCAGGTGAAAACCATCAGTGAGCAAGGCCCGGCTGGGGGTCACCAGAGGAGATTCAGACTTGAAGCAGCACATCATAAATCCCACTTTTTATTTCTGGGCCAGGGCTGAGGGCCAGACACACAGGCGGCCCCAAGCTTTCTCAGTCCAACCGTAAAGTAACGCTGTATCAATCCGAAAGCCAGAACAGGGCGAGATTATGATGGCAGCTTACATTTGTAAAAGCTACAGTAAAGTTTATAAAGTGCTGTAATATGAATTAACTTATTTGAACTAGATGATAATTCTGTGAACTATGCAGGAAAAACTATATTTCTCTTTTACAGCTGCAATTCTGACACTCAGAGAGGTAAAGTGGTTGATCAGTTCACGTAGCTTTTATGGGGATAGAGCCAGGTCTAGAAGACAGCTCACAGCTTTTTTTTTTTCATCCTCACCCGAGGACATTTTTCCATTTTTTGTTCAGATAGAGTGGGAGGTGGGGAGAGAGAGAGAGAGAAACATCGACATGGAAGGGACACATCGAGTGGCTGCCACCCTCACAACCCAACCAGGGCCGGGGACAAACTGCAACCGATACACGTGCCCTTAGCGGGAACCGAACCCGGGTCTCTCCGGACCGCAGGCCGACGCCCTAACTGCTGAGCCAAACCAGCCAGGGCACAACTTTTATTCTAGAATAGTTTTCAGTATTTCATGCCAGAAGTAGATAGAACAACTATTTACTTCTTTTCTAACTATCTTGTAGAATAACCTAGAAATAAATAAGTATATATAAACTAGTACTTATTTTCCTTCCCCAAAAAATAGGGCTTTTTGGTGTGTGTTTTAGGAGACATACTATAATAATTCAAATGCTTTCAGAATACTTTTTCTTTTAATGACTTACAAAAACAGGTATTAGGACCATTGCCTGAATTTTATTTTTTAAACTCTGTAGGAGAGAGATTCTGTTTCAAATGAGAGATTCACAAAATTATTATTCTAGGATTTCCACACACGAATATCAAATTGGATAGGCAAGATCTAAGTAAAATACCAAGATATACCTGTGACTTCTTTCCTCTTGCATTCTCTCTTGTTCACTCATGATACATTTTCTTCTATGTGCCAGGTTCTGTGCTTGGTACTGAGGATTTAATAATTAACAAAATGTGATCCTTGCCTGTAATGATCTTTTTTTCTTTTTTTTGTGGTACATGCCCCTAGCAGGAACCAAACCTGGGACTCTCTGGTCCACAGGCCGATGCTCAACTGCTGAGCCAAACCGGCCAAGGCACCTGTAATGATCTTAATGCCATATATATATATTTTTTTTTATAAACTTCTAATTCCATGAGGGTGTATCCATTAATAATGTACAAAGTGTATGTATTACCTAGGACAAGTGAGGGAAGACTTGAGATGAGACTTTTGAACTGAAGATTGAGGAACTTATCAAAAAAAAACAAAACAGGAAGGAAGCTAGTCCAATCAAATAGGTGGGAAAATAGACAAGGATGTGTTTAGGAAACAGCAAGTTAGTAATGTGTTACACCTGGAACATAAATTACATGGGAGGAATCGGCAACACGAGAGTCTTTGAGGCCAGATGATGCTCGCCTGACGTGCTATGCAGAGGAGTCTTGATTGGGTACCCAAAGAAGTGTAGGAAAGCAGAAATCGTTGTTAAACGAGAATTTTCATCACTAGATAACTTTTTTACAGGTAAGCCTTATAGAGGATGACTTAAAGAGGAGACTAACTGAAGAGATCAGCTTGGAATCTACTAGAATAGTCCTGGGAAGTAATGACGGGGCCAGAGTTCGGGCAATGGAAGTGAAAATGGATTACACAATTGAGAGACAATTTAGAAGTAGAATCATTAGGCAAATAAGATGATAGAAATGAGGAACCCATCTATTACAGAGGTTTGGTCTTGGCAGATTATCCTTCCTAAACGTGCATGTCTAGACAGACGTTAGTGCGGATTTTACCAAACTCAAATGTTCTAATTTTTTAAATTCTTTATGGTGTATGAAAACTGTATGTATTTACTTTCTGTTCTAGGGAAGCCAAGGTAGAGCTGAGAGTTGCCATTGCAAAGGTGGAAGAGTTAACTAAAGTGACTGAAGATTTTCAAGGACAGGTGCAGAAGAAGGTATCTTCTTATTTCTCAGGCAATTGATTGCCTGAAGCTGTTTATTCCTTGTATTTTTATTATTAGTCCATTTGGATTAGGGGTCAAATGGGGTTGCTGGAAAAGGAAATAATCATGTTCTTGCCCTCTAAATATAAAATTAGGAAGCGAAATTATAATATTGGAAATAATTATATTATCCAGTTTCCAACCAAAACTTCTTAGCCAGGAAAGTTTAACTTGGCAGTGGGGCTGTCATGAAACTCCCTCTCAATGGACCCAGCTGTTGGCTGAGTAGGCGAAGGCAGAAGGGAGGGAACCCATAAGATGTTTAAAGAAATAATGGCTGAAAACTTCCAAAATTTGGTGGAAAACATGAACAGATCTAAGAATCTCAGTGAACCCCAAGTAGGGTAAACACAAAGAAAATCACTTTGGGGTACTTTATGCCAACTCTGACAGCCAGCCATAAAGAGAAGACGTGATGCTGGGCCCGTGAGGCTCAGTGGATTGAGTGTCGGCCCCACGGACTGAGAGGTCGGGGCACATGCCCAGGTTTCGGGCTCGATCCCCAGCAGGGAGTGTGCAGGAGGCAATTGGTCAATGTTTCTCTCTCATCAGTGTCTCTGTCCCTCCCGTCCTCTCTCTAAAATATCAGTAGAAATATGTTTAAAATATTACATTTAAAAAAGAGAAAACATGAAAGCACAACAGAAAAGTGGCGTGAACGGAACAGCTGAGGAGTGGCTAACGCCCACGAAGAAACGGGGGAGCAGAAAACACCAGAGTAATAAATCTAAAGGCGAAAAAAGTGTTAAGAATTCTATGTGCAGTGCAACTGTACTTAAAAAATGAAGGCAAAATAAAAGCATTTTCAGATAAACAAAAACTGAGAGAAGTTGTCCCTAGCAGGGCGTGCCTCAGACACGCTGGAGGTTTCTTCCGGCTGAGAGGGAAGGACACCAGATGGCAACTCAGATGGAGGAGGAAATGAAGAGCAACAGGACTTGTAGATACGAAACCACATATCCACATACTTTTCTTTTCTCTTATTAACACCTTAAAAGACTTGACTGCTTTAAAGCAGGACTTACACTGTGTTTGATGAATCTCTGAAGTACAAAAATGTGCGGTGTGACAAACAAGCCACTAGAGACCAGGCTGGTATGTGGAAACAAATACGCTGTTGCAAGGTTCCGACATTTTCTCTGAATTAATCAAATATTAACTCTAAATAAATGGAGGTAAGTTAGAGATGCATATTATAATCTCTAGAGCAACCTTAAAAATAATTCAATCAGATATAACTAAAAGCCAATAGAAGAATTAAAATGGTATTATAAAATATACTTGTTTAACACACCTGAAAGTAGGAAAGGATGACAGTAATTTTTTTAAGATGGTTCAAATAAAACCTTAGTATATTTCAAAGCATCATCATGTCAAAGAACTATCCTATGATTGTAATGGATGCAGTGTAACCTTGTTAAGAGAGCGTGTCCGAAGGCAGGCTGACTCCATACAGTCTGCCTTGTCTTTTGACCCGCACTATAGAAATACAGTAGTATGAAATATTGGTAGAAATCTGTATGCAATGACTGTTCTGATTATTAATAATTTAATACAAGATTGATGGTGTGTAATACAGTGAGGTTCTCTTCCCCCTTTTTTCGTATACATAGGATGTGTTCCCCAAGTGGTCCTGCTTCTTTAAACTTATATATTGAATTCTAGCAGTGTAATAACTTCAGAGAGTGAACTATTGTCTTTATGCTGTAGAGTGATGAACTGAATTTCACATACTCAAAATAAGCTTCCAGTTTCTTTATTTTCCAGGAGGAGGACATGGTGTCTGCCCAGAGAAGAGAGGGCGCGTCAGATAGGCGTTTGCAGCAGTTGCAATTTAGTATAAAACAATTAGAAACAAGGTAAACTGTTACATACATCTAGACTTACCTGTACTTTTCAAAAGGTATTCCACATTAGAATTTCAGTATGCATTTTATAAGTGCGAAACAAACTATAATCATAGGTTTAAAATCTGACTTATTGGATATTATTTATTTTAAAAACGATACTCAAAAGATTAGTGTATTTTGAACATATATTAAAAGTTCATGTCTGCCCTGGCCGGTTTGGCTCAGTGGTTAGAGCATCGGTCTGTGGTCAAGAGAGACCAGTGTTCGATACCTGATAGGGGCACGTGCCTCGGTTGTAGTTTGTCCCTGGCCCTGGTTGGGTTGTGCGGGTGACGAGCACTCAATGTGTCCCTTTCACGTCAACGTTTCTCTCTCTCTCTCCCCTTCCCACTCTACCTGAACAAAAAATGAAAAAATGTCCTCAGGTGAGGATAAAAAAAAAAAGTTCATGTCTGTCTGTCTGTACCTTTCCTCCAAAGCAATCATAGTCAAGTTTAGTCAATCCCAAAGTCAAAAATGTTCTTTTCATCTTGAAGCAGAAAAAAATAATAATTGAAGTTGGGTAAAAATTGTAAATAGCCCTGGCTGGTTTGGCTTAGCAGTTGGAGCGTCAGCCCTCAGACCAAAGAGTCTCGGGTTCAGTTCCGGTTAAGGGCACAAAGCTCAGTTACAGTTTGGTCCCCAGCCCAGGTCCAGGTCATGTGGGAGGCAACCAGCTGATGTGTCTGTCTCTCATCAATGTTTTTCTCTCTCTCTCTTTCCCTGCCACTCTATCTGAAGATAAATGGAAAATATCCTCGGGTGAGGATTTAAAAAAAAAAAAAGTTGTATAGAAAAACCATTTCTTACTAAGTAGATACACAAGAGGAAAAATATTTGAGAAATCATTATAGATGTTTTCCCTGGAGTTTTCCAAAGCAGTGCTTTTCAGTTGTCTTCGAAGGTCTGGACTACTATTTAAATATATCTGTGGCTTTGTCTTTCATTGCTATCTTAATACACACATTCGCTCTGGAATCTTTCGTTGTTTTGCTCTTGTTTCCTCCTATTAGCTGTTTCCTTAAGAAACCTGAAAATTGTCATGTGTAATTTTTTCACAATACCGTGACCACAACCCATAAATTCACATGATGGTTTAGAGCTGAAAAATTTCCTGTGTATGATTGGAATCTTTTATAATCAGAAATAGTCTACTGATATGAGAACATCAAAAACTGAGCTATCAATTCTAGTCACAGATCCATGGCCAGTGTATCATTTGTTTGGGAAAAATTAGTATCTTTTTTACCTTCTGTTTCCTCTTCTCCAAAATGTTAATGAAAGTCATTTCTTTGCTCCCAGGAGGTTGGGAACTAATTGGTTTTAACTGCTAACTTGATATTCTGATGAAAGAGACAATTTTTTGGTTTTCATTTTTCTAAACTTTTCAACAGTCAGCTGTTTACTGCTTTCCTGGACTTCTTTGTATTAACCTGCGAGAAAAGTCTGTGGTTATAGATGTTTATTTCTGTTATTTTAGTAACATTCTATACTATGAAAGTCAATGCTAGAGACACAAACCAGTGAAACCTGAATGTGTGAATTTCACTTCCTTTTGGTTCTGGTAGTATTGAATCATGATGAATCAGGTGTTTATTCATTCAGCAAGCTCTAAGTTGTCTTTATAGTGTTGAAGGTTTTGGAATTTTCATTATTGTTTTATTTTGTTTTGCTGTTAGTATAAAGCTATAATGTAACCCAACTGAACAGCTTCCTAAGAAGAGAAGAGATTACTGCATGTGTAAGAAAATATGAAGATATTTTTTTAAGTCAAGTATTCAGCTAACCTCCTGAAAAGAAATTTTCACATTGACTGTCTTTCAGCACTATTACATTAATATTAAGTTCCTATTATGATTAAAAATGGTTATGTATTTTATTTTATTTTTTACTCCTCACCTAACGATTTTTTTCTACTTATCATCAGATAGAGTGGGAGGGAGGGAGGGGGAGAGAGACAGACAGACAGAGACAGAGAGAAACTTTGATGTGATAGAGCCATATCGACTGGTTGCCTCCTGCACGACCCGACCCAGGCCGGGGATGAACCGCAACTGAAGTACATGCCCTTGACTGGAATCGAACCCACAACTCATTGGTCCGCAGGCCAATGCTCCAACCACTGAGCCAAACCAGCCAGGGCCAAAATGGTTATATATTTTAAATTTTTTAAAGTCTCTTGTATTTTTATATAAGAGAAAGCAGTTATTAGTGTACTTGATATGTATCTCTAGCAATGTTCAGCCAACATGTTTAGGTGTGACTGTATTTTATTTAATGGAACTGCCACATTGAAAAGCTATATTTTTAATGATCATCTTTGGCCCATAAAATCAAAGACATTTTGGCCTCAACAAGTACTTATTATTTATGGTTATTAAAATTATTCTTTATATTTAAAATTATTTGTGATCTTTTCAAATGCCACAAAATCTAAGAGGCATAAGTCACTTCTTTTCATCTTCCAAAGAAAGGCCCTTTCTCCCTGCTGTTTAGGTGGTTGGTGGGTCCTGGGAAGTGTCTCCGGGAGATGACAGTTCTCTCTGGGAAAGACTGGTCTGGTTCGCATGTGCTCTGCTAAATAAGCCAGGCGTCACATGACTAGCGTGGCGTCAGACAGCTCGTCATGCCCTGCATGAGTCCTCCTGCCCCTCCTGCAGGAGGCGTGGGGAAGGGAAGGGTGACCCGATGGTGGGACAGTGACAGGTGTCCTGAGCCCCTGAGGGAAAGGCAGGCCCTTCGCCTGCTGCCACAGGTGCTTCAGCCGAATAAGGTGGAACGAGCAATGCCCTGCATGGAAGTTATTCCACTAAGACGGGAGAGCACGGAATTCCTTTCAGTGGCAGAGATTGCAGATTTTTACTAAAAAGCAAGGCCCAGTGATATGTTATTTTCGTAAACATCTAAAGCAACGGAAAAATTAACTAGAACAAAGATCCCAAGAGAGGAAAGAGGAAGAGGGTTTGTTTTAAATTTAAAATGAAGGTTTTATTTATTTTTTTCTTTATTGATTTTAGAGAGAGGAAGGGAGAGGCAGAGAGAGATAGAAACATCCATGAGAGAGAACATCGACTGGCTGCCTCCCTCATGCTCCCACTGGGGACCTGGCCCACAACCCGGGCATGTGCTCTCACCAGGGACCGAACCGGCGACCTCTTGGTGCGTGGGTCGATGCTCAGCCACTGAGCCACACCGGCCGGGCTAAAATGAAGGTTTTAGTGGAAGATACTAGGAACTTGCAGACAAGGAAAGCAGGAGTGATGGTGTTAACAGCACACAAGGTGGGGTGTAAAGGGAAAAGCAGTGAGCAGAATAAAAAGGGCCTTTAAGTAATGAAAATGGTACCATTTTGAAAAAGATAATAACATTAATAAACCAAATACAGCCCGGCCAGTGTGGCTCAGTGGTTGAGCATTGACCCAGGCACCAAGAGGTCGCCAGTTCGATTCCTGGTCAGAGCACATGCCCGGGTTGTGGGCCAGATCCCCAGTGGGGGGCATGCAGGAGGCAGCCAATTGATATTCTCTCTCATCGATGTTTCTATCTTTCCCCCCTTCCTGTCTCTCTCTAAAATCAATAAAGAAAAAAATTTTTATTTTATTTTTTTTATCCTCACCCGAGGACATTTTTCCATTTTTTGTTCAGATGGAGTGGGAGGGAGAGAGAGAGAGTGAGAGAAACATCGACGTGAAGGGACACATCGAGTGGTTGCCACCCACACGACCCAACCAGGGCCGGGGACAAACTGCAACCGAGGTGCGTGCCCTTAGTGGGAACTGAACCCAGGTCTCTCTGGACCGCAGGCTGATGCTCTAACCACTGAGCAAACCAGCCAGGGCGAGAAAAAAATTTTTTTTTTAAAGAAACCAAATACAGCCAATAATAGGGCAGCTCAATACGTGCTGCAAAAGCTAGGAAACGCAAAGGTGGTTCGATGAAAATGCAGTCGCAGTCACTGTTTCCGGCCATCTGCATCTCATCTCCCTGCTGTGTTGGGGATCCCCTGGGCTCAGTTCTTAGGGGAGGCCAGCTAATTCTGTGGGGAGGTTCTGGGCATGTTCCTGGCTACAGACTTCATGCCTGGTTCTCCAGCTCTCCGAGTGAGCCTGTGAACTTAACCAGTATCCTTTTAATAAACCCCTTTTCCGCTTAGATTGGCTCCTGCTGCTGGCAGCTAAGAACCCTAAATAGACCTTCACTTACTTTATTTAGAATTAAGCAGAGGAACTAAACGTCATCAACAACAAAATGTTTACAAAGGAGAGGACTGGAACGGAAGGAGGCTGCTTCTGTGCGCTCCAGGCTTCCCCCTGGCACTGGGGTGCTGGGGTGAGCGTGGGGGTGGGAGAGGGCGGGGTGGGCTTCTCCTGCACTCAGGGAATTAACAAAGGGGAGGGTGAAGTGTGAGGGAAGACTTGTCCTACCAGAACCTGTTATTAAAGATTTAGGGGTGAAAAAGAAAAATGAAAGACATGGCAATCTTTCGAGGAAATCGAGGAACTTACATTAACAATCTATGGATAAGGGAGATCATCGCTATAAAAGCTGAAATTCAAGACGTTGAAAAAAAAGTCAAAATAGCTGCATTAAAGTGAAATTGTGTTGTGTGGTTAAGACTCCCCACATAGAGTCAACAGGCAGCAAGAACAGAAAAGGACATGTGGGCAAATGTGGGCAAATGTGGGCAGCATGCAGGGCAGAGCAAAGGGCAGTGTCTTTATGCTCAGGGAGTTCTTAAAGGGACGGGCCAGGTCAATGACCCATCAGGGAAAATAGGCAGAGGGCATGAAGAAAAAATGTGAAGATGACAGTTCACATGGCTAACAAAGTTTCAAAAATATGCTTAACCCTACCAGTAATCAGGGAAATACAGATGAATAGTGAAATGAAGTTATATCCATCGGAGTAGAAAAGGAAAGAGCTTTTGGATTACTGCCAGCGGATTTCTACAAGACATATTCAATGAGAAAAGCAAGTGCAAAAGCGGGTGTGTACGGCGACCTTAATTTTTATAACACACAAAAAAAGTTATGTTTAAAACCTGTGTGTGTGTATAAATGTATATTATTTTACGTACTTGGAAAATATTCAAAGATGTAAGTTTACATGGGTAATCTGGGTAGAGAGTAGGAACCAGGAGCCAAGCAAAAAGGAAAGGGAAAAAAAGAGACCATAGAAATAGAAATAACAAGTCATTCTTTAAGAATGTGCTTTATGCCCTGGCCAGTTTGGCTCAGCGGTTAGAGCGTCGGCCTGCGGTCCGGAGAGACCCGGGTTCGGTTCCCGCTAAGGGCACGTACTTCGGTTGCAGTTTGTCCCCGGCCCTGGTTGGTCGTGCGGGTGGCAGCCACTCGATGTGTCCCTTCACGTCGATGTTTCTCTCTCTCTCCTTTCCTCTCTCTCCCTCCCACTCTATCTGTACAAAAAATGGAAAAATATCCTCGGGTGAGGATAAAGAAAATAAATAAATAAAAAAAGAATGTGCTTTATAACATTATCATGTGACTATATAATACACCTGCTACTGTGGAAAGTGTAACAGAGTCTCAGCCCCACTGCTCGTTAGCCATACAACCTTAATCAAATGTTTAACCTCTGTTAAAATGGGTCTGTTTGTTTTTCTTTAAAATGGAAATAACAAAATCTATGTTGCAGAACTTTTGTGTGGATCAAATGAGAAAATACATGTGAAAGTAACTGGAATAATGCTTGTCCTGTAGCAGATGCTCAGTAAATATCCTCCTCCTTCCTTCCCTTTGGAAATGTGTAACTTTTGCAATGTCACTGTTAATGTTTAGATCATGTGTGGCAGTCCAAGAAGCCACCCGATTAAGAGCAGAAAATTCACACTTGGAAAAACAGACCATAGAGTTGCAAGCAAAATACAGTGACTTAGAAAATGAGAAGTATGAAGCTATTGCAAGAGCCAGAAATAGCATGCAACTCTTAGAAGAAGCTAACTTGCAAAAAAACCAGGTAAGAAAACTAGTTAACATATTTATCAAAAAAATAGAACACTGAGTATTCCCCCACCTGACCTAATAGTGAGGGAATCTGTAACTACAGAATGGACGGGTAAAACTGAAATTGCTGTGCTCCCCATTAGTAACATACTGCATTATTGATGGTAAGACATAATCTCATAAAACATGATAGAATGTCAGCATGCATATCAGACTTTTCTTCTGTCTACACTGCTCGTGCAACTAATCTTCATGCCCTGTAGTCCCGTACTCTAAAAAATCTGTTACTGCACTCGACTGCGGTGTACCCTGTATCTTATGCAGTTGAATCAGATGAATCTTATTCACCTTCCTTTCCCCTTTATTACCTACACAGTTACTCTAATAGAGCAGAAGCTTAATTGACAAGAATTAAATTTAGCTGCAAAGATTATTACCTGGAACCTTTATGTCACTGTTTTTTGTCTTAACCTTCTAACAATTGATTTCTATGTTTGTTTGTTTGTTTGTTTAATCCTCACCCAAGGATATTTTTTCATTTATTTTCAGACAGAATGGGAGGGAGAGATAGAGAGAAACATCGATGTGAGAGAGACACATCTATCGGTTGCCTTCCGCACAACCCCAGCCAGGGCCAGGTATTGAACCTGTGACCCAAGTACATGCCCTTGACCGGGAATCAAACCCTAGACCCTTCAGTCTGCAGGCCTGTGCTTTAATAGCTGAGCCAAACCAGCCAGGGCTAAACTTTTCTTTAAATAAAAGAGATGGGAATGTGGGTGGTACTACTGTTGCAGGATCTGAACACAGGGCTACTTATTATGTGATGATAAAAAAGAGAGAAATTCAGTTAGGCCTAAAGTTGGAGGCGTTCTGGGCTCCGAAAGATATTTGGCTAGAGAGGTAAATTTGGAAATTGTCCGCATCTAAGTGGTATTCAGAATCGTGAGATTGGATTAGACCACCAAGGATGGACATAGACAGAGCGAAGGACCAAGGCCTGAGTCTCAGGTGCCTAATATCGAGGAGGTTGAGGAGAAGAGGAGTGGTGGGTGGTGAGTGAGGAGGAACACAAAAGTGGGCACATGGAAAACAAGAGGAAAAGTGATCCATCATCTCATGTGTTGCTGACAGACTAAATAACATAATTACTCAGAATTGACTCCTGAGTTGCCTTGGCCGATGTGGCCCAGTGGTTAGAGCATTGGCTCACACACAGAAGGTCGCAGGTTCGATTCCTGGTCAAGGGCACGTACCTGGGTTGCAGGTTCAATCCCCACCCTAGTCGGGGTGCATTTGGGAGGCAACCAATCAATGTGTCTCTCCCACTTTAGTGTTTCTCTCTCTCTCTCCTCTTCCCTCTCTTTCTTCTTCCCTCCTTCCATTCTCTCTAAAAATCAGTGGAAAAAATATCCTCAGGTGAGGAGTAACAAAACCCAAAACAAAAAATGTGACTCCTGAGTTATCAGTATGGAGATCATGGTGGTGAGAGCCTACTGGGGTGAGTGAGGGACAGAGTTTTGAGATGAGGAAGCACAGGTGCTGGAGGAGTTTGCTCCACAGGGAGGCAAAGAAATGAGTGTGACTCACAACAGAACTGGGATGACAAGGATGGATGGAAACACACTAGGAAGACAGAGCGGGCGGTGCCTGCAGTGACCGAGGTGTGAGGTGACAGAGGACTCAACTGGAATAACACTGAGTCACGAAAAGAGAGGGAAACCCGAGAGGTTGTTCCAAGAATGTAACACGTGGACTTGATGACTTATTTCGTATAGGGACTGAAGGAGAAGGAAAATTCAACCGTGACTCTCAGACCTCCAGCTGTAGAGATTAGAGAGCAGCACTGGCTGGATTAAATACCAGAGGAAGAGAATAAACTCGTTAGGACAAGGTGAAGCGAGGGGTAGAGGGAATAAATGCCATTCGCCACTTAGGCAAGAACTGCAGGTGGTGAGGTCTCAGAAGTTCAGAATAAGACACTTACTTTCAAGAAGGTTGTTAGTGGATACGTTTTTACCCACGTTTTTATGTTCTCTTTCTTCGTGATGTGATCTGTAATAACTTTGAGCGATTGTCTTCTGCAGGCTCTGCTTGGGGAAAAGCAAAAAGAAGAGGAGATAGAGAAAATCAAAAAAGCGTTTGCTCAGTTTATGCAAGATTCTTCCACAAGAATCACGAAAGAAGTAAGGTTTTTTATTATATTTAAAAGTCAACATTTTACAACTTCATACCAAATACTACCTAAGTTTTTGCCTGATGGACCTACTTACTTAACTGTCAGCTAATTGCATCATTTGTGCCAAATTTTAAAAAAATCATCTCAGCATAGTAGCACCTGCTGTTGGAGCTGGAGTGGGGCAGCGGCGGAGAGAAAAGGGAAGGAGGGATTGATACTGGGAATACAGTGAGGACTAGCACACCTGAAGGAGACATGGACGCGAAGGCTCATGAGAACCTTACGATGCATAAGAAACAAGAAAACCTGTTGTTGGCACTATCTTGAAGTCTCAGCCTGGAGAGATCTAGTTTAACCTCTTATTTTACTGGTAGAGAAACTGAAGCCCGCAGGAGGGTATTGACTCACTCGGTTGCATGCTAAGTAAAGCCAGAACCTAGACCCCCATCTTCTCCTTGCAGTACTGAGCCCTGTTTTGTTTCAGACACAACCTGCTGATACTTAACCCAGTTTGTGAATTGTATGGTTGTTTGCTATTCTGTTATCAAGACTAGATCTAATGTTTTTGTGTTTAAGTAATCTTGGTTTGAATAGTGAGGCTTATGAAAGTTTGCTTTCATCTAAAGAGACAGAGACATACATATATTTCCCCTTTCTTCTGGTACAGATATGAATCTATTTATAAATGGTGTGGTAAAGTTTGAAAGTGCGATGTGGGTTTAGGAGGAAGAAATCACAGAAATCTATTCTGAAGATGAAAAAGCGGAAATGCAGCGTAGTCAGCGGCTAGCTTAGGGCTCCCATGCAGGAGGTGGAGAACTGGGGTGCAGATGCAGTCTCTTGATTCTTGGGCTGTCCTCTCAGGCACATTAATTTGTATTTTTTTTATTTTTAGGAAAGTTCAAGCCCATAAAAAGGTTAAAAGGGCTGTACAATGAGCACTTATTTACCCCCTCACCCAGATAACTCTGAACACCAGAGGAAATTGCAAAATGTATTTCCTGCCCTGGCCAGTTTGGCTCAGCGGTTAGAGCGTCGGCCTGCGGTCCGGAGAGACCCGGGTTCGGTTCCCGCTAAGGGCACGTACCTCGGTTGCAGTTTGTCCCCGGCCCTGGTTGGTCGTGCGGGTGGCAGCCACTCGATGTGTCCCTTCACGTCGATGTTTCTCTCTCTCTCTCCCTTCCCCTCTCTCCCTCCCACTCTATCTGTACAAAAAATGGAAAAATATCCTCGGGTGAGGATTAAAAACAAAACAAACAAACAAACAAACAAACAAAAATGTATTTCCTTAAGCCAAACATTTGATCAGAGACTATAGGCATCATAACACGTCACTCCTGAATAAATATCTTGGTATCTCTATCCCCAGAAAGGGACATTTTACTGCATAACCACACTACTGTTACCATACCTTTCAAAAAAAAAACCAACATTACTTCAATATAACACACAGTCATATTTCCCTAAAATATTCTTTATAGCTGTTTGTTTTTTTAAATCCAGGCTGCAACCCACATTTGTGCATCATTGCATTTGGCTGTGTCTCTGTAGTCTTCATCAGTATAAACCAGTCACTTGCCTTCCTCAGTGTACGACAAAGAATTCTTTGTAGAATTCAGGCCAGGTGTCTTTCAGAATGTCCACGTCTGAAGTCGAGTGACTATTGATTAGCTTCAGGTCGTTCCTGGCGTAGTGAGGGTGTGCACACCTCCCACTTCGTACCAGGAAGCTGTGCGCTCGGGTGGTGCACTGGGGATGCTAAGCTTGACCACGTGGTTGAAGGGCTAAGACCAGATTTCTCCACTGTTACTTAAAAAATAACTGGGGGAAGTACTTGAAAACCATGCAGGTCTTCTTTTCCACCAAAACTGTCATCCGGTGGTTTTAGCACTCATTGATAATGCTTGCCTAAAATTAATATCATGTGGAGTGATCAAAATGATAATGTTCTACTTCCATTATTCTTTCTATACATTTATGAGCCGTCATTTTTCAGTAAAGTGCTCTGCCCCCCTTTTAGTATCACTGTGGATTTGTGAATGTTTTTAATTTTTTATGTTATATTACCATCAGTCTTTTTTATTCTCAAATTGTCTCTCTAGCTTTCTTACCTAATTGATGTTCCTCTCTCATCCTGTACTTGCCCTGCCTCAGACCTGGAATCAGCCAATTTTTCAAGAAGCTTTGGTTGTAATTTTTTTGCTTGACATTTTTGTCAGAGACAATATACAGAAAAACAGAAATTTGTAGTTTAATGTTACTGTAATATTTACATTAAAACACTTGCCTACATATTTATAAAGACTATTTATGAAATGATTAACATAAATTATTGAAAACTAATACCTTTTTCCTTTAAAATGAACTCCTATATACCTGGAGCTAATATAATATTGTATGTTAACTATATTTTAATAAATAAAGTTAGATCCTATAGAATAGTTGGATACACTATATATTCTTCCAGTGTATAAAATAAAAGTGTTAACTTTTTCTTACATATATTTGCAAGTGGTATTATTTGTCACCAAGGTAGACTGAAGTAAACTGGTTTCTTAAAGCCCCTTCTGTTTAAAAAAAAAAAGGGGGCAGTAACATGTTTGCTTTCTCCTCAAGCAATTAAGTGGTAGAGTTTTTATTCCTACAGAGTCACTGTATAATGTTTCTTGCTGCAAAAGTATTTCTTAGAAATTTGTTAAATAAAATATTTTAATTTTAGAAAGTAATACTTTTTATAAAAATATATTATTTGTGTTAATCTATAATAACCTTAGTTATTGTTTAATAAGTAAATATTTTTTAATTTTCTCAAGTTTCATTTCTAATATGGTAAATTTCAATGAAGAGAACCCATCATAAAACAAAATATTTTCTTTTATTTTATTATTTATTTATTTATTTTAGTGTAGAAGGGTCCTGGGCCGAAATACTTGACAATCACTGCCCCTTATCTGAGTCTATCTGAGTCTCCCCTCCCACTGCCGTGATCAGTTCTCGACTCTTCAGTATGTCATGTGCTCATTTATCTTTCATGCTCTAAAAGTTACAACTGTATTTTTTATCAAAACTATTATCCTAAATGTGTATATTGGATATTATTAGTTTTATTGTACACCTAAATAATTCATAAATATCTTAATTTACAGGTTGCAAACACAAAAAAACAATATAATATGCGTATTTCTCGACTATCAGAAGAAATTTCCGCCCATCAGATGGTAAGTCAGAAACTGTATTGATATTTTCTTATGAAATTGCTTATTTTAAAGGACAAGGTACATTCAAAAGTTACTTATTAAGACAAGAACTTTGCTAGATATCAGGAGCAGAGTGAAAATCAAGGTAAACCTGTAATCTATACAGCCTCGGAACTTACGGCCTAGTGGGAAAGAGGGATGGGCTGGGCCACCTTCGACTCTGCCTGCCTGTCTTTGACAAAGAATGCGCCTGGCACTATCGAAGCAGCCAGCTGCAGCTGCTGCCACACGCTGGTTCACGTGGGAACCGGAGAGGGAAGTGCACACTGGAGTGCGAAGGAAGAAACAAGCTTCCCAGAAGGACGAGTACCAAAGGGTGAGCAGGCAAAGGGACAAGGCGAAGAGTCCTTGTATGACTAGAGGCGGATTAAATACATACATTCAACTTGAAGATTGATGAAATGGAACTTAATAACCTTACTTATAGTGGAATAAAGGTACAAGAACTTCTGAAGTGGGGAGGCTATCTGATTGATGTTTAATCCTCCCTGAAAGAAGGAGCACATCTCTTCCACGTCTGCAACCCAGCAGTATGCATGATGGGAACTTGGTCACTGTGTAGTCCCAGGACCAATAGAACAAGGAACGGTGCTACTTCTTGTTTGCGTAATGTCATTTCTTTTAAGGATTTAGGAGCATTAGGTAAAATTAATGGGATGCAGTGTGGCCAGTTAATCATGTCTAATTTTTTGTGGTTTTTCAGTTTTATTTCTTCTTCTATCACCTTGTTATTTTGCATATTCTCTTACATGGAGTGATTTAGCTATCAAAGGATTAACAGCTTTGAGGAAGAAGGTCCCACCTTAGTCTGAGATTATTTAGTAGACTGTAAACTCTGGAAGGACAAGAACACTTGTTCTTCTATTTTCCCAAAAGAACATGTACTAGACAAGACCTGCAGGGATTTTTAAAATAACTGTTAAGTGTTTAACAACCAGAGCTACTGTATATAAAGTCACTGTAGAGTAAAAAAATTGTAATCTCAGGTTATTTTAATATATGTTTCTTAGGATTTATAGTAAAAAAAATTCTGATTCCTAGCTAAGTGAAATTTTCTACAATTATTAAATATTATCTGATATCATGTTGATTCCATGGGGAAAACTGTACTGACTAATTGAAAGTGTTTACTGTGGTATATGTCTGTGAGTATTTGTTTTTCTTGTTTGTTCATTTGTTGCTTTCAGTTTTATATCCCACTTATGAATGAAATCATATGGTTCCTAACTGTTTTTCTGTCTGACTTATTTCACTTAGCATGATATTCTCAAGGTTCATCCATGTTGTCACAAATGGCAGTATTTCATCTTTTCTTATATATCACCCCAATAAATTTAATAAAAAGAAAAGTGTTTAAATTAAGCATTTAGAAATAAGTTTGAAGGAAGACATGTTCAACTACTTTAAAAAAAAAAAAAAAAAGATTTTCTCAGGAAATTCAGGCTACAGATTGGGAAAAATATTTGCAAAAGACATATCTGATCAAAGTCTCTTATCCAAAATATACAAAGAACTTCTAAAAATCAACAATAAGAAAACAGGTGCCCTGGCCGGTTTGGCTCAGCGGTTAGAGCGTCCGCCTGCGGTCCCGAGAGACCCGGGTTCGGTTCCCGCTAAGGGCACGTACCTTGGTTGCAGTTTGTCCCCGGCCCTGGTTGGTCATGCGGGTGGCAGCCACTCGATGTGTCCCTTTCACATCGATGTTTCCCTCTCTCTCTCTCTCTCTTCCTCTCCCTCCGTCTGTACAGAAAATGGAAAAATGTCCTCGGATGAGGATAAAAAAAAAAAAAAAAGAAAACAGGTAACTTGGTTAAAAAATGGACCAAAGACCAGCCCTGGCCCATTTGGCTCAGCAGTTAGAGCATCAGCCCAAGGACCAAAGGGTCTCAGGTTCGATTCCCAGTCAAGGGCACATACCTGGGTTGCAGGTTTGACCCCCATGCAGGAGGCAGCCAATTAGTGTGTCTCTTTCACATCAATGTGTCTCTCCCCTCTCTCTCTCCCTCTCTCCCTCTCTCCCTCTCTCCCTCTCTCCCTCTCTCCCTCCCTTCCACTCTATCTCCTTGGGTGAGGATTTAAAAAAAAAATTTTTTTAAATGAACCAGAGACCTTAACAGATACCTCACTGAAGAAGATACACAGATGTCAAGTAAGCATATGAAAGATGCTCCACATCATATGCCACCAGGAAAATGCACATTAAAGCAGTAATGAGGTACCACCAGTTACACCAGAGAGGTGCCGGATACACCTATTAGAACAGCAAAATCCAGAGCAAAGATGTGAAGCAACAGGAGCTCTCATTCATTGCTGGTGGGATGCAAACCGGTACAGCCACTTTTGAAGGCAGTTTGGGGTTTCTTACAAAACTGAAAATACTCTTACACATGACCCCACAATTTCACTCCTCTTTATGTACCCAGACAAATTCAAAACTTACGTCCGCACAAAAATCTGCACATGACGATTTTTAGAAACTTTTTTCATAATTTCTAAAACTTGAAAGCACCAAGACATAGTTTACTATGTGAATGGATAAATAAACTGTGGTACATCTACACAATGGAATATTATTCAACACTAAAAAGAAAGGAGCCATCAAGCCATAAAAAGACATGGAGGAGCCCTGGCCAGTTTGGCTCAGCGGTTAGAGCTTCGTCCTGCGGTCCAGAGAGTCTCGGGTTCAGTTCCCCCTAAGGGCACGTGCCTCGGTTGCAGTTTGTCCCCAGCCCTGGTTGGGGTCGTATGGTTGGCAACCAGTTGATGTGTCTCTCTCATGTCGATGTTTCTCTCTCTCTTCCCCCCTTTCTCCCTCCTGTCTGAAGATAAATGTAAAAAAGTGTCCTTGAATGAAGATAAAAAATAAATAAAAGATATGCAGGAATCTTAGATGCATATTATTACGTCAGAGAATCTTGTTAAAAGGCTACATACATCCTCTATGATTCCAGCTATATGACATTCTGGAGAAAGTGACACTATGGAGACAGTAATAATATCAGTGGTTATTAGCGGTTGAGGAGAGAAGGATGAATAGGTGTAGGCGAAGCATAGAGCATTTTTAGGACAGCAAAACTACTCTGTGTGGTGCTGTGCTGGTGGGTACACGTCATTATAAATGTGTCCAAACCCATAGCATGGACACTACCAAAAGTTAATTCTTATGTAACCTATGCACTTTGGGTGATGATGATGTATCAGTGTAGGTTCGTCATTTGTAACAAATGTCCCACTACAGTGTGGGGTGTTGATGAAGGGGACGGCGGTGCATGCATGGAAGCAGGAGTTATGAGAGAAATCTCTGTAACTTCTGCTCAGTTTTGCTGTGAATCTAAAACCTCTCTAAAAATAGTGTCAAAAAAATCACACAGGATGAGTTATGAACATAGGAGAAATCCCAAGTTTCACACCGTAAAACTACCTTTCTCATAGATTAGCAACTCACTATATGAACATATATGGTATATTAAAGTTTCATTTCTTATACACTTTGTCTTAATAAAATAAAATAAATTTCGATTACTCATCTGATTTGTAACCTAGGGTTAAAGGTCTTTATTATAATCAGTTAATTATGGGTCACAATTTAGAGGCTTATTTTAAAATTTTTAAATCTTGATAACATTTATGATAAAGATAATTGAATACTGCCTGGCTGGTGTGGCTCAGTGGATTGAGTGTCATCCCATGGACTGAGCGGTCCCAGTTCCATTCCCCGTCGGGCACATGCCCTGGTTGTGGGCTCCATCCCCAGTAGGGGGCGTGCAGGAGGCAGGAGGCAGCCGACGGATGTTTCTCTCTCACATTGATGTTTCTCTCTCTCCCTTCTTCTTTCTTTAAGAATTTGATAAAAAATAAAAATGCTTTAAACAAAATTTTAAATATATAATTGAATATTAATTAGCAGTGTACTGTCCGCAAAGCGGGTTCATCCAGAGCATAATTTATAATTAATAGAAAATAATCATACCCATTCTCAAAAATAAGTAAATAGATAAAAATAAATGTAAAGAACTAGTCATTATAATGATTGCTTTTCGTTCTTCTAGTTTTACTTGCATTGGCTTTTTTACTTTTTTGCCAAAAAATTTAACTGTTTTAGAATTTATATACCTGTGCTCCTTTTAGTCACAGGTTATCCTCAGGGCGCCGTGCCTTTGTCTGGCTCTATGTTTTCTTTCAAATATGTCATGAGAGAATATGAAAATAAGAACTAGAGTATGAGAAAGGGGTCTCATTTATGTTTTTTCTCCCTACCATCTCTCAACCTCTGTCACCCACCTTGTTGACTTAAACCCCGGGTATCCTGTACGGGAGGTGATTCCCGAAATCCTGGGGAGGTGGAGCTCGTTTGGTTGTTTTCATGAATGCGGTCCTGCCGTACTGCTAGGGCGAGTGTGGCGGTCCTGTCACGGACAGATCATTTCACTTCTCCGTTTCCCCCATCTTTCTCAAGGACTTGCAAATGCTATATTATTTACAGTGCCACTTGAATTTGTAGGAGTGTGCCGAAAAACAAAGCCAAATCGAGCGAGTCATTAAGGAGAAAAAAGCGGTGGAAGAAGAACTAGAAAAGGTAAAAAGAAAAAGGAAAAAATAACTGCCTAAAACCCCACTGCAAACATTCAGCATCACTGTCTGCTTCCATCACACTCTCTCCTAGCAACCCCTATATTATAAGTATTCTTCTGGTGAGTGTTTCTGTTTGCTGGGAGTATATTCAGAATCCGCATTTAGATCCTGGTATTGCCGGCATACGTTTCTTTTCAGGAGTGGCCACATTATTTGAACGTTTCACTGAAAGGTATAAATTTTATGAAGTAGCTATATTCCTTGCTTAAACCTCATCCCAATGGTAAATTTTATTTTTGTCTGGCTTTCTAAATTTTATGCCAACTCAAAAATTATAATATTGCTATGATTTTTATCTTTAAAAGTACAGATTTTTATTTCATAGTTATGAAAAATATTTACCCCAATGATATTTGAGAAGAAAATATTGTAAGAAGTCTATAGTTAATAATTTTTTCTTACTTAGATGATGTTTTTATTAGCAGTAAATATCCCACTGTTTTCAAGCGCCTTGGGGAAAAGGGAAGACGAAATTTGATTCGGCACATACTTGCCAGTGTTAAAAGAATAGTAAGTGGTGAAGTCAAAGTTTGATTTTTTTTTCAAAGAGCTGGATAGCATAAAAAACACGTGATAGATCTGTATTATTGGCATAAAAAGATCATAACATTGGATCATAAAAGAGTAATTTATAAAGAAAACATATAATCTTATTTCTGGGGGTGGGGCATACATGTCATGTTCAGGGTAGGCCCTTCTTGGTCACCATTCTCCGTCAAGGTTGATGCCTTCTCAGTCCTCATCATGTATGTACCATTTAGCTTGTCACCTTTATACACCAGGGCTTGGGATGAATGTTTAATGTCACATGGCATAGGTTAAGCAATAGGCTGGATTGGGGAATGCGAAACCTACCAGGCTGAAGGCAGGAGGTTCCCCCACTGTCCACAGACGAGTGTGCAAAGTCAGCTGCTGGACTGCAGTGGACGTCTGCATTTTGGTAGTAGGACATTCTGCTGATACTCTATCTTTTTTTTCTTAATTTTTTTTTTTTTTTTTTTTTATCCTCACCCGAGGACATTTTTCCATTTTTTGTACAGATAGAGTGGGAGGGAGAGAGAGGAAGGGAGAGAGAGAAACATCGACGTGAAGGGACACATCGAGTGGCTGCCACCCGCACGACCAACCAGGGCCGGGGACAAACTGCAACCGAAGTACGTGCCCTTAGCGGGAACCGAACCCGGGTCTCTCTGGACCGCAGGCCGACGCTCTAACCACTGAGCCAAACCGGCCAGGGCTATCTTTTTTTTCTTAATTGACTTTTAGAGGAAGGCAGAGGGAGAGAGAGAGAGAAACATTGATGAGAGAGAACATTGATTGGCTGCCTCTTGCATGCCTCCCACTGGGGATCTAACCCACAACCTGGGCGTGTGCCCTGACTGGGTATCGAACCAGTGACCTCTTGGTGCATGGGTTGACGCTCCCACTGAGCCACACTGGCAGGGCTGTTCTATCTTTTTTATGGAGCAGGAGCAACAAAGCAGTCTTGTCAGTGGGAGAAGACACAGGTCACTCGTCCAGGCAGTCGGGGTTTGAGGGGAAGCTGTGTGTAGGATTTGTCCGAAAATGTGAACTGCTTAGATCTTGCAGTTCTGGGGATGTTATTGCCTGTGTTGTGGGAGGCCAGTCTCATGGGAAGCTGAACTTGGGCACAACCACTCCTCCTGGGCAGACGGGGGAGGGGACGAGGGATCCCCATTCCAGCTAGACCACTGTCTAACACAGAGGGGGATTCTGGACTCACCTTCAGATAGTGCTGCTCATTGCACCACAGCATGTATCTGTTTTTAATACTCGAACACAGAATTGACTTGTCCGGTGTTCATCAAAGAGTCAAAGCAGTTATCTCTTAAGTGGTGACATCTAGAGTACTTTTTTTTTTTACTTCAACTATGTTACATTTCCTTTTAAAATATTAAAACTATTGGAATAATTTACAATGAGCATGAGTAATTGCAGAAAATAAGCAGTTATTATTTTATGTCCATTTTAGCACTGTATTTTTTAAATGTGAAACACCCAAATTAATTATTGATATGTTTTAATACGTTACAGTGGAAACAGAGGAACACATCATGGGTTTTGATTTCTCATCATTAATTTCAATTTCTAAATCTATACTTTCTTAGACCATTTTCTTCTGTAAGGTAATATACATATAAGCCTCTTCTGCAGATGTACCGTGAAGGCAAAGCAAATGAAAGTCATTACAGAAAACTGGAAGAAATGCACCAGCGGTGCCTGGTTGCAGAGCGTTCAAAAGATGATCTTCAGCTGCGACTTAAGACAGCAGAAAATAAAATAAAGCAACTGGAAATAAAGTAAGATATTCTTTAGCATTTTCTGTGATAACATTTTCAGAATGCATACAATTTTTGACAGATCCTAAACCTTTATTATAGGACTAATAATTTATGTTTAAAAGAAAGAAAAAAAAAAAACAAAGCTTAGTACCAGATAGGTTTTTCTGTTCAAAATTATTTCTAAAGACTAATTTCTTCAGGAAGAAGAGATGCAATAGCACTTTATCATCTTTCTAATCTCTCCTTTCTGGTCGGTAAGCAGATACGTGGTGTTGTTCGCCTTGCTTCTCTGTGCTGCGTAGCTCCTGGGAACCAGTAGCTGAGTCGAGAGGCTCGGTCTGATCCAGCCTCTTTTGTTTTGTAAGAGTTCTTCACAGGTGGTGATATTCTGGACTTCTCTTTGGAGGCACACAGTGTTTGGTTGATTCTGATCTTAGCATCTTTATGATCACCATTTCATGATCACTGCCTAGATCCATCATTTCATTGAGAACTTTATCAGTCAAGGTCATTATAGAAAAAAAGATCTATAATTATTATGGGAAATGAGAACCTTGTTTGTCCAAGGAATGTTCACACAATTCGGTTGTCTAGAATTGAAAAGATAGAGATTTAAAAGGAGAGGGATAAAAATTAGCAATGTGCATGTTTGGGGGTTGTGTCACCCAATAACCCATTGTCGTGCTAAAAAACATAACCTGTTTAAACTATGATTAAATAAGAAATTTACAGAACTAGAAATGCATAAAAAATATTTGTAAGACCTATAACAGGAAAATATGAAATAGGTCTTATAATTTATAAATATGGTCAACTAATGTTTTTCTGTGGGGTTTCTTGATAAAATAAAGGAGTTTTGATTATTACCTACTTCATCTTTCTTACCATTAGCTTCAGTTTGTCCCTCAAAGCCCTCTGTACATAATGGTTCTCAATGTTAGTAAAAATTTGAAAGTTTCAGATAGATTTTCTAGGTGAGTAGTGACAGTTCAATCTGTCTGTTCTCAGAAAAGATTACCAGATTGCATGTGTTTTCCCTGCATCACATAACCACTCAGCTAAGTAGCAGTGAAGAGAAATGGCTCAGGACACAGAAAACAACTTCTGTATAATAACACAGAGAAGGCTTCTTGACGTCTATTACATGTCATTAAGTTTCTTTTGTTTTCTTTTTTTAATCAGTTCCTCAGAAGAGATATCACGTTGCCAAGAAATGATTCAGAAACTTCAAAATGCCTTGGAGTCTGAGAGAGAAAACTGTGGAACAGTCAGTGAACAAAGGCTAAAACTTCAGCAGGAAAATGAACAGTTACAGAAAGAGACTGAGGATTTAAGAAAGATTGCTCTCGAAGCTCAAAAAAGGGCAAAAATAAAGGTATTTTCAAAACCAGTCAGAGTTAAATATGTACTTGTGAAAATCAAAATGTAGAGAATATTTAGAAACCTAGTAAAACATTTTTAAGGCCTTTTTTTTTTTTTTTTTTTTTGCCGTTTCATCAGATAACACTAAATCATAATGTGGAGCATTAACGGTCTCTTCTGTGTTGTCGAACTTGGCAAGCACACTTGAAAATGATTGCTTTCACTATCCGCACACACAGAATTCTTTCCAGCCTTGAAGTACACTGATATTCCTGCCAAGGCAATTTAAGCAGTGCTAACAAAACCATAGATTACATGATTTTATAGACTGCCTCTGTCCTCCCTCTATGATAGCCTCTCAAAACTGAACTATAAAACTCACTGCACAGAGGATGCTACCCTGAGAATCACTCAAAAGTGGTCTGGACATCCCATGCCAGGAAGATGGCAAGGGACATGCCGTCCTCCAAAGAAAACCCCACTTCGTTGTCTCTGATCCTCTCTTCCTTGATGCTCCCATGCTTTGGCAATAGGAACATGATCGTCTGTTTATGGGAGTTTCAAGAAGCACAGTATCATCAACACATGTCTTGCCTTTCCCATTCAATGAGACTTCTGCATATATATGTTGAATGTCTCCTATTACAAGTATTTTTTAAACTATATTTTTCATTGTTAGAGAGAGAGGAAGGGAGAGGGAGAGGAGGATAGAAACATTGATAAGAGATAACACTGATCAGTTGCCTCCTTCATGCCCCCGCTGGGGACTGAGCCCAAAACCCTGGGGATGTGCCCTCCCCGGGCATTGAACTGGCCACCTTTCAGTGCATGGGATGATGCTCAGTCCACTGAGCCATACTTGCAGGCTGAATGCCTCCTATTAAAATATTAAACACTGTAGTTACTGGTAAAAGCTTAAATTTTGAAAAAGAGAGCCTTATGCTCATACAGAGAAGTTTGTACTTCATGCTTTAGTCACTGGGAAATCTTTGGACAAGGGAAGAATTGTACTGCAAGATACCAAGACTTTATATAAAGCTACAGTAATTAAAAATGTGTAATCGACATACAAGTAATCAACTTGATAAATGAAACAAAATAGAGTTCAGGAACAAACCAGTTTTTCCTAATCTCATGTATAATAAAGGCATCCCTGCAGTTCAATAGGGAAAGAATTATCTTTACCATAAGTGACGCTAGATCAGTGGGTCCACATTTTTAAAATGAACCTTGAATCACACCATACATGCAAAGTAATTTGAGTTGCTTTGTAGACCTAAATGCAAAATATAAAACAGTGGAGCTTTAAGCAGAACATCTTCATGTCCTTGAGTAAGAAATAACTTCTCAGAACAAAAAAAAACAATAATCATAATGAAAACAGATGAATTGGATTTCGTTAAAATTAATAAATGACATCAGAAGACATCAAGAGAATAAAAAGTGGAAGAAAGTATTATAATACATACAACCAAAAGAAAGGGGACTTGTTCTGAATATAAAAACTGTTACTAATTAATAAGGAAAAAACGTAATTAATAAGGAAGTAACAGACATCGCATTTCCATACATGGGCAAGACTTAAATGGGCACTTTTTATTATAAAAAGCATGTATGAAAAAATGTGCAACTTTATTATTTATTAGGGGAATGTAGTTAAATCTCTGATGAAGTAACACTACATACCCACCAGAATGGATAAAATGAAAAAACTAACAGTATCGAGGGTGGACAGTTCTAGAGCAATCGGAACTTTCACATGACACTTTGGGGAATGTAAACTGGTATAACCACCATTTGGCTGTTTCTCTTAAAGTTGTACATAACATATATGTACTGTACCAAATAGTCCTGGCCCCAGGCCCAGCAGACACGAGTACACAACGGAAGGAGGAGGGAGACCGTAAATCCCTTTTTCCTACCCTGCATTGGAAGCCCGTCATCAGCGGGACGTTTGTTGTAGGAGGCCCAGTTGTGGTGGCCCTTGGCCTTCCACTTGCACTGCAGACCGGTCCAGTTTAACACTCGGAACCGCATCCACTAAAGGACCTGGGATTTGTTTCAAGACTGAATGTTGATACCAAAAAGCCATCGTTTATTCAATCTATGGCTGTGTTTTGACAACCTTACTATGTTTCCGGTCCTGAAGATGCACAGTGAACAAAAAGGACATGGTCTCCACCTTTTAAAGCTTATCATTTGTGTCCAGCCAGCGTGGCCCAGTGGTTGAGCATTGACCCATGCACTAAGAGGTCACCAGTTCGATTCCCGGTCAGGGCACATGCCCAGGTTGTGGGCCTGATCCTCAGTGGGAGGCGTGCAGGAGGCGGCCAGTCGATGTTCTCTCTCATTGATGTTTCTATTTCTCCCTCTCTCTCTAAAATCAATAAAGGAAAAAAAATAAAGCTTATCATTTGCATGGAGGTGGGCAAACTTTAAACATCTCACAAACTAATGAATACTTTTTTAGGGAACACATAAGGCACGGTGAGAACTCAGGAGGGGCCTGACTTTGGGTAGATAGTAAGAGAATTACCTTGTAGATGCAATACTGAGCTGAGTTCTAAAAGTCAGATAGAAAGAACCGAGGCAAGCAGAGGGGAAGACGATGCCATGCAGAGGGAGGTGTGAAAAGGACCCGGGGATGCGAGGGTATCGCGGCACAAAGAAAGAAAGAAGGGGGAGGGTGGCATAGCGCCGGCTGGTGCAAGGAGGGGAGGCGGGTCATCATGAGGGCCCTTGAGCAAGGCTTGTCCCAGACTGTCCAGGTGGCAGTGGGGAGTCACTTGGCAGGCAGAATTCTAAAACAGTATAGATGCTTAGATCCTTTTTCAAAGTATGTGTGAAGGAAAGAGAAATAAACAACTCCACCTAAGATACCGGAACCCGGGCTTCTCCAGGACAGTGGACTGAGTCAGGGAAGGGGGAGCATATTCGAATCTCAATTTGAGGAATCTGATCATTCAAAAATTATTGGAATAGCAGGCGCCGGGGAGCCTCGGGAGGACTGCCCAGCTGTAGTACAATACAGAGTTAAGGCGTCAATATTGTTTTCCATGCCTGAATTCATGAAGTCTCAAAAGTCTACTGTATGCTGTTGGGAACGCAGACTTGGAGTCTGTAAGCATGCTCGTTCCGCAGGGCGTGAGCACGGCTGCTGCCGCCCCCCCATGAGCCAGGCACCTTGCTGCCATGGGGCTTTCTTTTGTCTCTTTTGAAATGGTAAAGTTGGGTCCCTTGTTCATCCTTTTTTGAATTTGGAAGTAGCCATATTTAATGAATTACTAGAAGCCATGCCAGCTATGGCCATTTTTAAAGCAGAATACTTGAAAATATCACAAAGTTAGGTGTTCTTTATAATATTCTTTAATGTAGCAAGATAAAGATGTCCTGAGACTGCAGCAAAGAAACGGTTCAGTTACTCTTTCCTCAGGTGCCTCGAGGGTGGTGAAAGGCAGTTTCACTCTAGGGGCACAGTGGGGAGGCGATTCAGAACCCACCGTAGGGCACGGGGCGTAGTTCTCTCCCGGACCCAGCTGAGAAAGCTTCTAGGGTAGCCCGAGGGCATTCGCTCGTGTGTTCATTCTGCATTAAGGTGTTTTTACTGTAATGACGTACACTGTCTAGAAATATACTGAACTTATTTGCATATGAGATTCTCAAAATCATTATTATAGTCTTTTTTCCCTGAAAAAAAAATTGTACCATAACTGAAATGGTGAAGGAATTCCTATATGTAATATTACTTGACTTCCTAAAGCCCTTTGAGAGACACTCTGAAATTTAGTAAATTAATCAAAAGTGACTGGAGGAGCTCCTGAGTTGGTAAGCGCACCAAAGGGTTGGGGACGGGGTGCACTCGGAGAAGGGCACGGAAGCCCACAGCCTCTGCCATGTCCTGCCTTACCGCTTCCATCTGCCTGCGTTGTAGCCTTTATAATAGACCAGTAAATACCTTTTTAAATGGCTTGAGTAAAACCTAGCTTTCAGTGACAGAGGGCATGAACATTTTCCATGGATCATGGTAACAAAAGTAGACGTACATGGTGAGAGCAGTTTTATATTACAGAGTGTACATTTTAACTACTGCCCTTTCAAGGTGCCGGGGAAAGTGCTGCAAAAAACTAGCCGCTCATGATTCTGGCTTCACTAGATGTGTCCTGTAATACAGGGTAAGGCTTCATGTGTGATGAAAACAGTTATAAGCTTAATTTTTATGTGGATTTCTCATCCAAACATCTATGTGCTGTGGACCACACCATGAATATTCCTTGTATGTCCTTGGTCAGTATGTCCCTTAGAATAACAGAAAAGAAAAAGAAGAGACTGTGTTCATTTTATTCCCTAGATCAGTACAATGGAACATGAATTCTCAGTAAAGGAACACGGGTTCGAAGTTCGGCTGAGAGAGATGGAGGACAGTAATCGCAGCTCCACTGTTGAACTGAGGCACCTCCTGGTGACTCAACAGAAGGCAGCCAGTAGGTGGAGAGAAGAAACAAAGAAACTTACTGAAAGTGCCGAAATTAGAATCAGTAATCTGAAGTAAGTCCACTGTTGATTGTCTGATACTTTTTACAGAGAAATTAACCTCAGGTTTAAGGTCTGTGTCATCATCTTTTTGTAAAAATGTATAATTCTGGACCTTGTATTTATATGTTTTATTCATCAAATATTCACTGAACTACTATAAAAATATTAAGTAAGCATTTATAAATCAAAACAGCTAATGTGTGTTTTTATAAATTTTATGCATATTCCACAAAATACAATTTTTGTTGGACATGGCAGTTTAGAACCCTAATACTGTTTGCATATAGGGTTAGCATAATCATGTTCTATAATTGCAATGAAATCTGTTTGAGCTGCAAAGCCTAAAAAGATTCGCTGTCTGGCCTGTTAAGAAGAAGTTTGCTGACCCCTGCCCAGCCAGACCTTGAGCTTTTGTGCCGAGTGAGATGGGGTGTCGTCGAGGGCGTTGAGCAAGGTGGTGTGAGCAGGCTTGAAGGTTCAGCAGGCCAGCGCCTAGACGCGGGCGTGTGCATGCTGTCCCGGGCGCAGGTGTCTGGTGCTCCAGTGTTCTGCGGCTTTTCTCATTACGAGCTTTCATTCAAGAATTGGCTCAGAGCTTTTTGCTATATTTTCATCTCTTTAATGATTTTGAAGAGTTGAGTTTTTAATGGATTGATTAATCTAAATAACCTGGTATACTTTAGTGGATCCAAACATACTCTTGAAAAATATCCCACCTCATTTAGCAGTGATTGATGATAATATATGTTGGTGAAAACTAGGCTTTGGATAACTTTTTTCTTTTACGGACTGTACATGTGTCTGTGGTCAGTTACAGCATCCTAGAAGTTGAAATCAACTGTAGCTGCAAAATCAATCAATCAGAACTGTTGCAGGGAATTAACATCGGGGGTCATTAGAATCAATGTTGCACTTATTATACAACATATTACTTCTAATTAAGAAACATTAGCGGTTGATTTTAGTGTTATTTCTTAACTAAAACAAATATGTTGTATATCTTTGTGTTTTAACCTTGTTACAAATATAGCGAGGCCAGAGGCAGATCAAGAGAAAGAAACCAAAGTTGTACAGTTTCTGTACTCCAGATTCCCAGGGGTGACCACAGCACACCACACAGGGCCACTCGGGAAGCCTGGGGCCGGTCACTAGGCAGAGGGGCGGGGGACAGTGGGCAAGCGCCTTCCCTGTGGCTTCTGCTGGCAGGAATGAGGCAGGTGAATAGATGGAGGATTGGCTAATCGGAATAATTTCAGCAGGCTCTGAGGCATAGAGATGTCCCTGCGGTCTGATATCTGACCTGGGACAGTTCAGGCCGATGGACAGTGGCCAGAGTGTTAAGCGTCCAGGAAGGGAAGCAATTGAGCGTGTGAATTTAATCAGCTGTTCACAAAGGGAAACTGACCTGTCTCTAGTAGGGCCTCAAAACTGCAGTAAGACAGCATTTAAAAACAACTGTTTACCTTGAAGCAACTAACATGTAGCGTCCTAGGCCTAGGACATGAGGAGGCAGTGTTCAGATGGGCCAGAGTGCCTGATTTATTTGTATCACAGTGTGGAAATGGAAGATGAAAAAGTGTCTGTGGTGTTGGCTGAGATCTTAAAAACATCATGAAAAATGGAGCAGAATCTGTAACTATACTTGCTTAGTAAGGGACTAAGGGTGTCCTGTGCAGGTTTATCATCCCTTCCTCTAGCACAGCTGTTTCGTCAGCCAGTGTGCTCTGGTGACTCACACTATAAATCTACTCAGACAAAGCTTTGGTCACTTGGCAGATATTTTGCATCAAGTTTAAGAGAAAAGTAGGGCCACCCTTTTGGGGGTCCCATTACATTTGATTTTTTTCATAGTTCTCAGGAAAAAAATAATAAATTAGCTTAATTTTATATTATCATTGTATTAAAAGTAACACGTAATCTGGCCGGTGTGGCTTAGTGGTTGAGCATTGACCCCTGCACCAAGAGGTTGCCGGTTTGATTCCCGGTCAGGGCACATGCCCGGGTTTTGGGCCAAATCCCCAGTGGGGGGGCATGCAGGAGGCAGCCAGGCAATGTTCTCTCTCATCAATGTTTCTATCTTTCTACAATCAATAAAGAAAAAATAAAATAACATGTAGATTATTAAAATTATATGTTAACCCTGAAGCAATAGAAGCTCATTAATATTTTACATACCTGCTTTATTGTATTAGTAAACTTAACTAAAAATATTCATATTTGCTTGGATTTGGGGTTTTAGTACACCTGTAAAAGTATTCAGCGGGGTTATTAGCATCTTGGCTCTCTCTCTTCACTCTATTAAGTTCAGAATTACAATTTAAAGTGCCTGTACCCCAGTTTTCAGAATTATACAAGTATTTTCAGAAATAAAAACAGATTTGTAAAATCTCACTTTAATTTACATAACAAGTATGCGAGCGACCATATTTTCTAAGCATTCTGCCAGACGCTGGAAACACGAAGACGCCTAAGGCAAGACGGTGCCCTTTGGTCTCCTGTCCCGTTACCCACTGTGTTTCTCCTTACCGCGTTCATCCCGTCAGTGATTGCATTTTATATTTCTTCACTTGCAGTTTTTATTTTCTTTCTTCCCCACGAGAATGTCAGCTCCATAAGGTGACTTGTGTCTGGTGTTCTCCGCCAGTGCCTTCCCCCAGACTCTGAAAGAAGGCCCAGCCTTAGGAGATGCTCAGGACATACTTGTTGAATGAATGAGGGAATGAAAGCTAGTGAGTTTATCAAGCAGTGTTTCTTTTCTAGGCCAAGATCTCCTTCCAACTTTGGTTCTTTCTGCAGAATTTTAGATGTTGACATGCAGTTGAACTTGTGAGACATGATCAAGTATCTCGTTCCCCACCATTTAAGAGACTGCATGGCTCAGAGGCTTGAGTTCCCAGGAGACTTACAGCACTGCCTTCCAGTGAGACTTGTTCCCTCCTTACAAACTTTCTTACACACTTTTAAAAGTGCTGTTTGTTCTAAGAATTACTATGAAGACTGTTGATGTAGCCACTACGACTGAGTGAAATAATTTTTAAAAAGCAGTACTTCTCACTCTGGCCGGTTTGGCTCAGCGGTTAGAGCGTCGGCCTACGGTCCAGAGAGACCCGGGTTCGGTTCCCGCTAAGGGCACGTACCTCAGTTGCAGTTTGTCCCTGGCCCCGGTTGGGTCATGCGGGTGGCAGCCACTCGATGTGTCCCTTTCTCATGGACGCTTCTCTCCCTCTCTCCCTCCCGCTCTATCTGAAGATAAATGCAAAAAAAAAAAAAAAAAAGGCAGTACTTCTCATAATCATACTTTCAGAGGAGAAAATATTACACAGTGCGGCTAGAATTATTTATCCAATTATTGAACGCATGTGAACTTCTGTTCAAAAATCTCAGTGAGAACATCTTGGTCGGACATCACAGACCTGGGGGACTACACATGCGTGCCCACAGGCACCAGCCCCCAGCAGTTCCTGGCACGTACCTGTTGAACGAATATGCATATGTGAGCATAAATACTTATGTGAACACAGCCATAGCGTGGTGCTGGGACTTGGTATTCTGTAGCTGTGCACAGGTGACTTGTTTGAGAACTACTGAAGTGTGGTTCTTTAGAAGGGTTTGCTGGCTGGCAGCCCAGACCAGCAGGAGCCCCTCAGCTGAGTGCCGCAGGCATGGCCCGGCCACAGGCGAGTCCCGCCTCATCAGCTCCGCTGCCCCACGGGGCGATGACATCACGACTTAATTCTTTTGAACACTGGAAATTATGTTTTCATGGGGGTTTTTAATGGTATTTTTAGCCAAAAATTCAGATATTATGAAAGTAGTCCTATAGTTTCCAATAGTCAGGACCTGTGAAACAGCCGGGGTGGGGACCAAGGAGTGAGGAGGAGCAGCTGCCCCGACTCCTCCGCCTCCGCCTCCCCCTCCCCTCCCCCTCCCCCTCCCCCTCCCCTCCGCCCCCTCCCCCTCCCCCTCCCCCTCCGCCTCCCCGCCCAGATCCCCTCCCCTCTGCCCTCACCCTCCTCTCTCACCTGGGTCAGTGCACAGCTTTCTGGTTGGTTTCTGAAACCCAATCCATTTCCCCTTGAACTATTTTCCAACTATGCCAAAGATAACTTTTTTTTTTAGTTTTTTATTGATTGATTTTAGAGAGAGAGAGAGAGAAACATTGATTTGTTGTTCCACTTATTTATGCAGTCGTTGGTTGAGTCTTGTGTGTGCCCTGACGGAGGATCGAACCCACAACCTTGGAGTATCCGGATGACACTCTAACCAGCTGAACAACCTGGCCAGGGCCCAGATAACTTCTATAATGTACATCTTATCATGCATCCCACTCTCCCATCCATTCCCACCCCCAACTGGAAGCAAGTTGGCCAAAGGAACTTTCTGATCTGGCACTCACATATGTTCCTATCTCATTTCTCACCTTCCGCTTTTTATTATTTCCCTCTACTTAAGAAATTTTTAGAGAAACCTCCATAACCTTAAGGTCCCTTTATTGTAATAAGAATAAGAAATTAATGTTACCAATTTAAAAATCAAAGTTATATCCAAACCACTCAGTCCTTTAGAAATAGCTGCTGGGTATCACCCCCAACCACTCTGAAACCACAGGGCAGTGGTGGGCAGGGCCGGCCACAGGGCCTGCAGCAGCTGCTGTCCGGCTGTCCGGCAGGGACTCTGAGCTACACGGACAGAAAGTCCTGCCTTCATGCAGATTTCACAGCAGGGGAGCGGGACAGTAAATGAGAGAAATTAAATATGCGATGTGATGACGTGATGATGAGACGTGATGATGCGACGTGATGATGAGACGACGTGATGATGAGACGACGTGATGATGACATGACGTGATGATGAGACGTGATGATGCAACGTGATGATGCGATGTGATGATGAGACGACGTGAGATGACATGACGTGATGATGAGGCGTGCTGAGGGAAAGGCCTGCAGGAAGAGGAGTGGGTAGTGTCCCTCCTTTCAGAGGGAGTGCCTTGCGCGGGTCACGGGGTGACC